ATTTGAAAGCTGTGGTCATGAGGCCCTGCTGAGATCAGGGACTCAAGTTGGAAAAAAACAGAGATGATGCTGTCTGGAATAGACAGCTGGTGCTTTCAGAAGGCGACCGTAGGCGTTTTGGGGGGATTCCCTATCCTGTGGCTCATACTGAGACCACAGTGCAAACAACAATGATCTGGAGGCCTGCGATTATGAGGGGTTCAGAGCCAGATGCCTTCACAGCTCACTCTGAAGATATCAGCCCTTCTAAAAGAAGCCACCATTTGGCATCAAAAAAAATTAACATATCAAAAAAGTCACTTATTAATTCCCAGTCTTACATATCTCCACATGCAGAACACCCCACTTCCCCCTAGTACATCTGTGGCCCTACAGCTCAGCCAAGAACGGGAGACGAGGGTAAGCCTCCATGAGCACCAGTGCAACCTGTGACGCAAGGGCGAGTCGAAGGCATGGCTCTAGCGATGGGATGACGACTGCTCCTTTCTGGAGACGGTGGTGATCCCCACCACGACTGCCTGTACTCTCCCTCGCAGCCCCGGTAACGCACCGGGAATTAGGTGTGTTACGGTTGTGTGCTCGGGGGGGATGAGGAAGGAGGAGTTAGCAAATGCTGCCAAGTAGTTTACGCCCAAAATCTGACCTACCTTCCAACAGCTAAAGTGTAAGGGGAAATACTTTCTGGGCTCTAAGGAGCTTATTAAAAACAAACCCCAGAGTTTGTGTTGTCACCAGTTGGCCCTTGTAAAACAACGTAAGGATTTTTGTTCCCCCCTGAATGCATGGATTTTATTAAGTGTGCATTAACTGTATTGTTCTCTTTGATAATCTTTGGATTCAGTCTTAAGTTTTGCAGCTCTCGGGATGGAGATTGCTGACTCAGCTATGTCTAATGAAAGCATATTTCCCACTTCATTTAGCTCATAACAGCATAGTAAGCTGTAGGATGCTATGCCAACTGGAGGCCTGGTTGAGGTTTTGATTTGATGATAGTTACTTCTGTCATCTGTAAGTTGTCCTTGTAGAGAAGAAGTCTGATAGAAACCACAGCTGTGCTGAGGATCTCCCAGGGCAGCTTTTTAAAGGACAGCCTGGGTTTGCCTGGGCACCAACAAAATATCATCGTGTTACAGAGTTGATCTGCAAGATGAGGACAGCTCATGTGGTCAAGGCATTGGCACAGAAGTCATAGGGCCAGATGTGAATTTGCTGGAGTGGGAAAAAGATCTTCTCATGTCTTCTGCATGGCAGGCCCCTTATTCCCCTTTCAGTTCAGAGCTGCAGCTGCCATTGAACCAGCTCACTCAGGCAATTTTCTGAGCAACTACCTTGGACACATCACAGACTCCTTATTCCTCTGTTCTTCTTCTGTTAAATGCAGCCCACATCACATCATTCCTTTTGCTTCTTGTATGCCTTGACAGTTTGGACTGAGCCTGCTTCAGCTACCGCCCCACCAGAGAGCATCCAGCACAACGGGCTTTCCAACGGCTGCTGCAGACAGGCAATAAAATGCATTTGCAGCGAACACAGTGTTACTGTCACAGTCTTGACATCATTACCCCGAGGACAGGCCTTAAAGCAATAAAAGCAAGAGAGAACTGATGTATGGAATGCCTCATTTTAAGCTCTTTACTATCTTTATGGCTGGACTGTGAATAATGAAACCTCCAATGAAAACCAGCAGTCTGCAACCAAGATACAATGAATGACATAGATGATTTGTCTTTGGAAGCTACCTCTGAATAAAATTTTACACTCTAATAGAAAACAAATTAATGTCCATTTACTTTTTTTATGGCGAAGAAAGCCATTTTTTCCTTCTGAAAAGAAGTATGTATCTGTACTGTACACAAGAGGGCACCAGCCCTTAGTAGCACGCCCAACGCAACCGGAGGGGCAGCTGGATGGGATGGTCCTTGTCAAGTAAAAAGGGAACTATTTGGACCAGCCTTTGCTCAGATAGGTGGCTGTGCTCTCACGTACCTTCTCTGCACCTGAGAATTTGCTGAGCCCTCCTGTTCACACCTGCTTAGCCCTGGTTCTGTGCGACCCCATTGGCAACTCAGCATGGGCCTGTGAGCACAGCCCTGCACAAATCTGTCCGTAACCTGAACTCCTCGGACCCCTCCCTTGACCAGGAACCTGAAAAACCAGAGCTGACTGTTAAATAGAAGCTTTCTGGCAGATTATGAATGAATAAAGCGTAAATTTTCAGAGAATGTGTGACAGCATCTCCTTGGGGACAAGCGCATGTTGATTCCTAAATGCAAAGTGGATGATTTTTGCCTGGCCCAAGACTAGCTCAGACACCCGGGACGTGCCACGTTCCCAGCTGGGTGTTGCACTGACGTGACAACTTTAATCTCCACAATATTCCTCCCGCCTCTACCTCCCTCATCCTGCAAAAGTTACAACAATCCATTTGTTGCAAGCAATCTTACCTTTTCTCCCACTATTCCAGGCTCCCCTACGGGACCAATGAAACCCATTAGACCCTGAGGAAAGAGAAAAGCACAATTAATTGTCAGTTTTATTTGCTGAGAAAGGAAACAGTTTCTGTGGTCCACCTTGCTGGTTGAAATAGCACAGCATCCCTCATACTGCTTGGTAATTCCTACTGGCTACCAGAGCGGACAGAGTTGCTCCCGGCCATGGGAATGTCTAACTCCACAGCTGGTTCTGCTTTATGCACCAGCTGGAACGGCAGCACTAGGATCTGCAAGAGCCACAACACACAGTATAGGGGATGAGTTAAGCACGTCTCGTAGGAAGGCTGAGTCCATAGCGTGGCTTTGTTTTGCAAGCACTTTCCAAAATGTCAGTGCAGCTTCCTCAAGAGCATCGATAGCGGGAGCTCCTGGGTTGTACAGAGTCTGAGAGTTGCCCTCTTTTTAACTGCTGTGCTGGGTAGACTTCCTCTGGGTTAGTCTGAGCTGCCTCAAATCCTTTTGCAAACTAATTTTGCCCTGGATAGTGTCATGTTCTTGGGATGTCCGTAGGAAATAAAGGTCCGAGGACGTAGCCAGAGGGGCCAGCAGGGCAGCAGATCTATCGCGCTGCTCAGAAACCATCTTGGAACAACCCCTCAGTCTAAGCTCAGGATTTGTCAGGATTTAACAACGTTCGGGATAACGAAGAAACAAACAGAACTGCTTTTAATTAGGAAGATGGAAACAGATGCAATCTCAAGCTAAGAGTCCTGAGAATTAAAATGCAGCAGCCTCCCTATCAACTCCAGCGGGTTTCTGGCTCTAGAGACACAAGAGACCGTCCTTTCTGCCACAGCAGGCACACTCACTCTCTCACTGCGTGGTTCTCATGGCCTCGTCCCCAGTCCCAGCAAGGGTCATTGGGAGATAGGTATCTATATTTAGTTCCTCCAGTGGGTCCATAACTAAAAGGATTCATCTCCCGTTGAAACACTCCATAACCTGCCCGCAGCTGGCATGGGTGGTGTGGAACGAAGCTGTGCCCTAGCTTGTTTGATTTTAGGTAACAGTCTGGTTGGTGCTGCGAGGTGGCTGCTGAGCAGGTCAGGCACAGGAGAGGGATTCTCCAGTGGTATTCATGCTACTCTTCCTCTTATTTAGAATAATTTGAAATCTTCATAATAAATTGTAAAGTTCCCCTATGCAAACGCATCTCACCTTTTCACTTCAACATCAAGGAGGTTTCCAAATGACACACTCAATAAAACATTCAGCATGAACAAACACAACAGGGAAAAAAGCTATGCTAGCAAGGCAGCTTCTGGAGTGTGGTCTCAGAAAAGGGAGAGCTTTTTACCCTGCTATCTCCTTTCTGGGGGAAGAGCAAGAAAGAGAAGCAAAAATTTCCTCTCCATACTCCTGCTTCACTGCTTTTTCCGTTCCCAGCTGCCTGATGTGTGTGGCTCATGGAGAAGCTCTCTGCAGCCTGTGCATCACTGTGGTTCTGTGGACCAATGTGCATTGACACAGTGGCACCACCCAGCAAGGATGGAACAGCCTACTCGCAGGTTGTGTAGCTCCTCCCACCAAAGCTTCTCTCTCTCTCTTCTCCCCCCTGAAGTTACGCTCACAATAAAAATCTGTAGCACAAATAATCAGCCTCATTGCTTTTCCTGTATGTGTGAGGCTCAGCAGACCCATTCGGAGACATAAAACACAATGTGGGTCACTCTCCAATGACTTTTAGAGGGAAGAGCTTCTGACGATGACTCCAAACACCGAGAGGCTTCATGCGTTAACATTCCTCACATGGTGCAATTAAATGCTATCCTTTGAACATCACTGGAGACAGGAGCTCCTCAATGAGGCATGCTGATGGGCTCAACAAAAGCATCTCTCACTCAGACAGCTGGCTTTGCCTCTTGCAGGGAGCAGCCACACTTTCTGCTCTGAGCAGCCCATGTCACACTCTGGCATGGGAGTAACATCCAGGTGAAAAGTGTTTGGAAAAACATTCCTGAGATAAGGCAAATAGTTCAGTGAGTACATCGAAGCCTGGAGTTAGATGCTTACATTAGAAATTCATCCAGAGATGATGTCCCAGGAAATGCCACAACATGCTACTGTGCCATGATGGAAATATCGATTAACCACGAGAAGACAGCTACTACCAGGAAAGCTCTTCTGTCCTGTCAGGGGCTTGATGTCACCAACCCTTCTGACACCAGCACTGAAATGGTCCTTGCCATGTCCGAAGTTGAAGCAGCCCCAGCGCACAAGCGTGCCACTGGGACCGGGCTGCACGGACAAGACACGCATGGGAGGACAAGACATGCGTGGGAGCAAAGCAGCGCTGGACCCAGCAGCTGATGGCCCAAGGCAGGAACCGAAGGGAGAGCTGGCAAATTTGAATATCTGCATATGCAAAGTTGCCACTGGGTGGCATTGCTGAAGGCTGCCGAATCAATTATCCTTTCAATTAGACACCAGTGCAGATACATGGCTGATAACCGTACCCAGTTACTGAAGTTTTCCAGTAGCCCAAGGCCACTGAGAAGGCAAACGTTATGCAAGGAGAGAATGACAAAGGAATGAGACAAAACAAGGGAATGCATCTCTAGGCAAAGTAAGATAATAAAGCAAGCAAGAATAAATTCGTTCCTTCATTTTCAATTTCTCAGAAAAACTGCAGAACTCCCTCTCTCCGTGGAAGATGCTCTCTTTAAGGTATTTCTGGGTTACTTAGGTCAGTCCCTGCAGAAGGGGAGAAATCCCTGCTCTTGCTGCAGACTCCGTTACCACTCAGAACAAGACTGAAACACTTCCGAGAGGCTTGGGCTGTGGTGTTGCATATCCCAACTCAGGCTGGAAGGCAAATACTTCTGATACACTGGCCACAGCAGCATCAGCTCCCACCCTAAAAAGTCTCTAAGGAATCTGGGTCATCAGGTGAGATGCACTGGTTGTGCTTCCCAGCCAGCCCGGTGTTGCTCTCCAGATGGATCGCAGAGCACCGACGGCAGCGTGCCAAGGAGCCCCCAAAACCCAATGCCCTCCTGAGACCCCTCTCGTGGTCACAGATGTGCCGTTTGCTATCGCTGCTTGTGCGGAAACCTGCTGGCACTGCCAACGCAACGGGGCAGAGGCAGACACTGCACCTGCTGCCAGGTCAACATCAGGATGGAAGGGGAGCACAGCCAAAATTTCTGGCCTGGCTTTCACTCCTAAACCAGGCAAAATTCTGTCTGCGCTGGTACATCCTGTTCCTGCCCAAGGGAAGATGTCTCTGCTCCAGGCGTACCCAGCAAGAGGAGCATCCCATGGTGTGACTGCAGCAGAGAAGGGACCCTGTGACAAGGTCAGGCTTCCAGCATAGCAGCTCCGTGGCATTTGCAGCCAACACTGTCTGCTCCAGCCTCAATTAACTAACATGGCTGTGTCTGCAGGCAGGCACAAATCGGGATAGATATGGCTGGGAAAATAAATCTCGGTAAATTATTGGGAGTATATGAAACAACTGGGGGAGATTGGGTAACAATATTATTCACTGGCCAAAACAGGATAGACACTAAAGAGAACACAAGCAGCAAAAGATTTAGGTTTTAAGAACCAGAAAAGCCACTGGTGGCAAATATTAAATCAAAGCAGACATGAATTGTGGCCATTACACTAAAATGGCTGCAGCATAACATAGTTTTCCCAGGTTCCCAGGGTTGAAAAGAAGCCCTGCGTCAAACACGACTCCAGGCAGCGTGTGTAATGATGCACGTGAAGTCCCAGCAGCGGTGGCTGCCCGGATAAAGGCCCACAGTATCCAGGAAAGAATGTAAAACATTTATATTAGACGGGGAGTTCAGCATGTCGCTCATGATTCAGTCTGCTGTATTCCCCAGCCAAGGGCATGGCGGAAAAGGGATGGAGATTGTTAAAAAGTTGCTGGGGGCTTGGGGGGAAGGAAAGAGGAGGGGGGGACTGGCGGGTTGTAATTCCTAACTCCTGTCTGGCTTCCCCCATTTATTGTCCAGGCCTGTCATAATTAAGCCCCCCCTCTTGGCTGCATCAACAGAGAGCAAGTCAGCAATGAAGCCTTGCATAAATCATAGCCCATTTGAGAGACACAACCGAACGGCGAGCCCAGCGTGAGCAGGGTCTCCCAGGGACGGGACCGCCAGTCGCTCCCAGCAGGAACCGATCATGGCCTTTCTGTTTTACTGGTTCGCTAGAACTCAAAACAAAACAAACCAGGGACAAAGGACGGGAGGGAGTAAATGTACAATCCTCCCATTCAGATGAAAGAAAGGGAAAGTAAAACAGTAAATATCACAGTTTAAGGGAGGACGCTCTGACCCGCAAAGAAAAGCCATGTGGTTTAACCCCCTGTGCACCGGAGCTCAGGCGTAGCCTGGGGTCGCGTTGGGTTCCCACCACCCTCTGGGCAGCAAGGGAAGGAACACCTTGTCAGATCAAAGGGGCTGGATACGCTGCAGCGCCTGTCAATCCCTGAACGAGAGGTCTGCATCTTGGAAAGACGCTCTGCAGAGGAAGGTAAATGCTTTGGGAAAGGCACTGCTCTAAGACGTGGGGAACGCCGGTGCAGTTCCCTGCTCGGTTCTCGGTGACCCATTTGGCCTTGGTCAAGTCAATCCACATCTCTGCGTGTCAGACCCCACCTGCAAAACTGTTGTTACAGCACATCCCTCCTTTGTAAGAGCACCGCAAGGAAAATACATTGAGGAGATAATCAATGGCACTGGTTTCCTTTGACAAATTATTTTGGAATAATACCTGACATTGGGACAACATGTTTCTCCCTTAAAGGAAGAGATACCCTCAAAGGGTCACAGAGTGTTTGTCCTTCCCAGCACGGTGCGACGGGCGCATGGCTGTCCCTAACATCGCCATGCAAGTGAGCAGGGCTGTCACTTCTTGTACAGAAGTAGCTGTTCTTGCTACGACGGGACCTCCTCGTTCCCACTAAGGATGTAGGTCAACCTTAGTCTCTTGCAGCTGGCACAACTCTTCAATGACATTTTCAGTCTCTAGTGCAGAGCTGGGGGTGGTCCACGGGCTGGCAGCACCCTTCGCTGATTTGCTATCCTCTCTGCTGCAGGGTGTTGCTTCTCCTGCAGGGCTATCTGACCTTCAACATGGATGTATCGGTGACATTCTCCTGCTCTGCACTCCCAGCTCTGGAACAGGAAGCCTGGTGACCTGGGCCAGAGGCCCTGTATTCTTCTTCATATTCTTCTGCCTCCATCTACTGGCAAGGAAGGGTTAAATCACACATTTCCAGGGTACAAGGGAGCCCAGCAGCTGGAGTCCTTCCAGCATATGAAGACAACAAGCATCTTATGAATGAACTTCCCGAGTCAGTGTCCTTGCAATGGAAAAACACTGCATCAGGGACTACCCTGTGGCTTAAAACCTCGTTTTTCCAATGAGAGCTCAAGTGTCACTGGAAACCTTACAGAAACTCCCATGTTTGCCTAAACTGAGGTCCTTAAGAAAGGGAAGAGAGCTCCAAAGAGATGGATGGCTGATCTTTTCTCATGCTGTTACACCGAGGCTTCCACTCAGAGGGAACCTGCATGGAGGGCAGAGCGGCAAGTCTGAAAAGTTTGACCACTCTTATTGTGCCTATGGAACAGAAAACGTCAAGACCTCCACAACGGAAAACAGGAGTGAGATAAAGGTGTCTTTTTGTGCCACACGACCTGGGTAGCCCAACCTCTCAGAGCTCTGCAAAAAACCAGCCCAGCCCCAACACCAAATGCTGAAGCTTAGGTGGAGGAGGAAAGAAAATCCAACACACTCCGGCATTGTTCCGCAAAGGTGTGATGGGAAAGGAGGTTATTTCTTACTAATCTGGTGCAACGTTTTGTTCTAATGACTTGACTGGTACGGAAATGGAAATTCTTTCTGGGTGATATTTCTAGTCAGAGACTAATTGACTAAGAATAATACAGGCAGCTTTCATACCACTGTGCTGGTTTCAGTGTCAGCAGAGGCCAGCTGTGTTTTCTTTTCGGTGAACAGTGCCTACGGTTTTCATCCAAGGTCAGTCCTGAGAGACGTTGAAGAATAACAATCCTAATGATGCTTTGTCCTTCAAGGGCAACATCTTGCAAAGGATCTCAAAGCACTTCTAAGTATTCATTTTTAACTGTAGTACAGCAGTATCCATAGGTGCCACCTGAGAACAGGCAGCATTGTGCTAAGCACTTTTCAGAGCTCTCTCACGTCTTCCACGGAAGGAGAACTGAGGCACAGAGCACCAGAAGGTGATGCCTGAGATTGAGCAGAATCTGGTAAAGCTGCAGCTAGAACTCAGATGCATGGAACAACTTTGCTTCTTCAGTTGTTGCTCTTCATAGAGTAAATTATTAACCATAATACAGAAACGATATAGAATATAAAATAGAATATAGAAAAATATAGAAAACTTCCAAATAGAAACAACTATCCACCTTTGCTTTTCGGACTTGCTTGGTCAGAAACCCATGGAAGAAGTGACCCCTAGCTGTTGCATACAGGGGAAAGAAGATACAGAGAGGCTGATGAGCTAAACCAAAACAAACTTGCTGACCATTCGGCAGGGAAAGTGCTGGGAAGGACAGCTATGCTGAGAAGCAACACCCTCTCCGCCAGGGCTGGCTGCTGCAGCCAGCTTGGTGTGGTCATGTAGGAACGCACAGAACATGTTGGAAGCTCCACAGCTGCAATTTTAGGGTTGGTGGTGGACAAGTTGGTTGGTTTCAATCACAGAGCCATGGGAACAATTGTTTCTTTTTCCTTGATGCCTGTGGTTCCCCTGAAGCCTACAGAGATGATGCGCGTCCCCTGCTACCCCAGCAGAACATTCTCTCTGCAGTACAGCAAAATGCAGCTCAGTGTCTCATTTCCCCACGGTCTGGTTTCTTCAGCTTCTGTCTCCTCTGCTCCCCAAAAAAATCCAGTGGGAGTCAAAGCAGCACAGCACCCAAAGTAGAGGATCTTATCCTTACAACCTACATAGGCAAAGCCTGGAAAAATGCCCTTTTAGGGATAAGAGGAATACACAGAAATGCGTAATCCTTTCTTGACCATGGCTTTGCCTTCTTGAGAAGCACAGCTGGCCAGATGTGCTGTACTGTTGCCAGTATTGACAGCACACCCACCTGAACTGTGACTTTATCGGAGCACTCTGCCTATGGAAGAACCTCCAGTTTAGAATAGACACCATGGTCTCTGTCAGTGCTGTTCACTAAGAGCTTCAGCCAGACTAAGAGCTCCCCATTTGGAGCACCAGGACTTTGGACAGGTTTGAGGTGGCCAGAAGCCCCTGGTCACTGTCCTCTGCCTGCGCTCTGGTCATCTAGGAGACACTGCACATTGGAGATCGTCAAGCAGACAGGGAAAGCAAAGAGTTTACCTGCTCACCAACTTTCCCTGGTCGGCCACGGTTTCCTGGCTCACCCTGCAAGACAAGGAGAGACAAGGCACACAGGTTACTTGGTGCTCCCAGTCAGACCCTCAGTACAACATGATTCTTTGTACACCCGTGATTTGGGCTGCTGTGCATGAATCGTGGAAAACCTGCAAGAAACATCATTTTACAAAACCCACCATGACCTGAAGGACAATCCAAAGCAAGAAACGCAGCTGACACAAACACCGAGCAAACACTTGCTGTTCTGAAGTGCCCCAAAAGCAGTTGTTGGTCCTGCCGTGATAAAATAACCTTCACAAAACCAAACTTGGACATTGAAACATAAGCTGTCTATTTTCCTGTGGCATTGCCTAGTCCTGGTTGCTTTACCTCCATGTTTAGGAAGGCATGAGTTCTCATCAGGGATGCTCCTGAAGTTGTGGTGTTTCTGACCCATAACATTTCAATGTGAAAGACTAAGTAAAACAGACACGGATGAAGACAGAAACACATCAGCAGGAGGAAGAGAATAGGAAAGGACCCTGATTAACCACATGATTTGAGGAGCATCTAGGGGAAGCAAGAGTGCAGACACCATGAGAAGGTGTAGCTCCTGAATGACAGAGAAGGGATGCAAGAAAATTCACCTGCTAGTGGAAACGTCACAAGAATAAAAGACAACCCAAATATTCCCAGGCAATGCTGCACCTTGATTCTGCTCTTGCAAAATCTCAAACATAGGGACGTTACTGTCACATGGGGCGTTCACGTGAAAACCACAGCAAGAACCTACACGATAAATCACAGTGCAGGATGCGAGAAATTCAGAGAATGAGAAAAAACAGGGGTGAAGAGAAAAGCAAGAGGAGGAAGAGGAGAATTTCAAATCCACCAGGGATAAAGGCAGCCATGGCAGCACTCGAAGGCCCGTGGAGTGCCCCTGGACAGGCCATCCAGGGGCCAGACTCACCGCTAACCACTATTGTCTCCGGGTGATGGCAGCTGTATTTTCTCAGTAGGCAGATACTCCAGATGTGCTGCCAGACCACATTTTTGCTATTTACTGTTTGAAGAGGTTGTTTTTGCTGGGTTTTCTTTCTTTTTGAGTGTGGGTTTGCGGAACGAACTGCGCTGGGATGGCTCCTGCTGCTAATTAGGCAGCAAAGATAGGAATGATGTGCATTGTTTCAGAACAAAAACATGGAGAAGCAATGGAAAATAAGATGAGATGATGAAGGGAGGAGTTGGTTAATATCAAAGGAGGAACACACTTGTTTATAATAAAGCCCATGGCTTAAAAAATGCACCATCATTCTTTTTGCTGAAGAAACCAAGCCAAAGCTGAGACCCCAAAATTCAGAGAAAAAGAGAAATCCTCAGTTTCCCTTGTTCTCTCTGGAATGAACACCCTAGGCTTGGAGCATGGTAAAGACGAGAAAAGACATTTCCCTCTTCCTTTCCTTCCTTCCACCCACTGCCTCCCTGATGATGAACAAACTCTTTCCTCACCTTTGGACCATCGGGACCAGGTCTTCCTGGAAATCCCTTCCGGCCAGATCGACCCTGAAATACACGGAAAAACAATAAACATAAAAAGCTTGCAGCTGCCCTTGGTCACAGCAGTGTGTCTGTGAACCTATATGGTGCAGCTTACAAGCAACGCTCCCGGTGAATTGAGGCCAAGGCAACACAAGAGCAAAGCTCTGTCTTGAGCGACACCAGGTTTGATCCATGGGGAACGTGCTTAGACAACTGCTCCAAGGTTCAGCCCATTTCTGACGCTCCAGCTTAGTTCTATTAGTTAAACATCATAATGCATGGACTATAATCAACCAAGCCAAGAGCTTTGTCGCTGCCCTTTATGATGTGCCATATTCAGCTGGATTTATCCTACTGCCAGCAGTTTTCTTGTAGCAATGCCAGCAAGGACATCAGTAGTCTGAGCATTCAAAGATGGTACTTTCCTAGTGTTGGCGGGGACTTGGCCATGTAAGGTTCTTATGGGCTCTATCCCTGGCATCCAGAGAGGATTTAGCAGTAGGACTGTCCCTACAGTGTGGGAAGCCAGGCTGACATTCACAGTTGCAGCTCAGAGAAGCAGAAAAAAACCTACAGACCAAAAGGTTCATGTTGAGCCTTCCCTTTGATTAGAAGAACACTTATAGTGCTGTTCCAAGCACTGGAGAAACTGGATTTATTATGTTGCTCCAGAAAGGAATAAAACTGTCTACCAGAACAGTGGAGGAAATGCAAGATAAAACATTTATTTTCTGATTCACCTAGAAGCTCCAGCACAGTTTCCAATTTTCAAGATATTTTACCATCCTGCAATGACAATTACATACATAATCACTACAAAAACCTGAGCTGGCAAGCTCATAGACATGATAATATTCTTTTTGCTTCTTCTAACTGTATTTCTGTGATACATCATTGTGTTCAGAGTGATGTAGAGGTCAAAAGGACTCTCTCTCAACTATCCTGCCTTTTTTCTAGCTTTTTCCTCTACTCATCGAAAAATACTGTAAATCAAGGAAGAAACATCAGAGCTGGTTACAGAGATGGTTTCCAGTCAACGTGCTTTATCTTGAGGATGAACTACTTAAATGTTAGAGGGTTTTTCAAGGTCTGAGGCCTTAAGCAAGTTATAAAATTAGAGTCCCACTCAGCACCCTTTGCAAGACGCTCCCTTGACTTTCAGTCATCCTGGACCAAACAGTTTGACCAAGCCCTGGACAAGACGATATTTCTTAGAAGGGCAGATCACTCCCCATATCATGAGGTTTGAAGCTTTATGTTAATTTAACTACAATTCCATTGCAAGTTCAATAGAGCTGGTAGTAACTGAGTAAATGACTGAAACCTACCTCTGGACCAGGGACTCCTGGTGGTCCTAAGGGTCCTTCATCTCCCTGAGGTGAAAAGAAATCAAAATAAAAGGCAAAGTAGTGATGAAATTTGGACTCATCATGCAGCAAGAATGAAAGGTCTGCAGTATGAGCAGCAGTTAAACACAGGCTGTGTGCTCAGCTGTCACGTTTTAACAACTGAGTCCTTCTGAATCTTAGAGCAGGTGGCTCAGCATCTCGGAAGTTTCTCAGCTCCCCTCCTCATCTCAGGGAAAAAAATCTAAAGTCAAGTCCTGCCAGTAAAGGCCATCCAACAGCCGACTTAAGTCAACACCAGTTGATTGGGCCTATCATGGGCTGAATTTGGCCCATAAGGTACCCTGGACATGCTCACATGACTCTGGTTCATTTGATTTGGCAGGGATACGAATGCTGTCGAGCTCTCTACTCTTTTTCTTTCTGTCTTCTTTTTTTTTTTTTTTCACCCCACAAAAAGGGTGTTGCAAAATTTCCCACAGAACCATTTGGCAACCGTATGAAGGTTTCCCTTTTGCTTTCAAATGGGACTGCACATGCTGCAGGATGGAGCTATCTCAAAATCTCACACAGCAATTGGACTCGGTCCTCTCCCTTGGCTCTACACCAGTTTCTAATGTGATAGGATCAGATCTACAGTTTCTAGGAGACCTTCAATTAAGCTTCAAAAAATTATCTCAAGTGTCTAAAACCAACTGCCAAGAGAGAAATTAAAAGCGCCCTTGGCAGCCACCGTTCTGGCTGTTCTCATTTAGGTGGTCAGCCGTGGTAATGAAGTGGCACGAGCTGGCGGACTGAAGATGGAACTGGAAGTGAGGAACCCAGCTCAATGGGCTCAGGCAAACCACCCGCAACGTGCCATGTTTCTAAAGAAGATGTAATCCACAGCCTTGACCTACCGCCTCAGTAACAGCAGCAGCAAAGGCACAGTGGTGTGGTCTGGTGCACATGCAAAGTCCTTCAGCACAGCTTATGTCAAAGTCCATGTCCATGTCTTCAGTCTTACTTTTACACTCACTAACTAGAGTAAATTGAAGGCAGCTTGGTCATGCCTGCCTGAACCTGGAATGCAGGGCTTCACTTCCCTTTGTAAATTGCCTGGAGTATTTTTTTCCTATTTCAGTGCAAATAAATGAGCTAATTTGCATTAATCCCATTTAGAGAGCAAGGCAAAGAATTCCCAGAAAAAGTTAACAGTTATTAGTACTATTAGAACAAGCTCCTGCCCATGCGTGCACCGAGTATTATTTGCACAATGTCTCATGACTGGACAAACACTGGCGTCAACAAGAAGAAGTGAAGTCACTGGAGTTAGAACAGGATAAAAAGAGGGCACTCAGGCCTTCTCTGCTGCTGCTAGAAAGTATTTGCAGCTCCAGGACAATTAAATTAAGGACAATTGTCCCTTCTTAGTGACTGCCAGTGGAATAAAGCTTCACATTTTCACATGAAGCGATAAGTGAAAGCTGCAAGCTCCGAGATGCTGGGGCAAACAAATCTTTGCAGAACAGTAATTTCAATTTATGTACTCTTTACAAAAGGATATTGCTCCATGTGAGGGAGCGGAGTCTGCAGGTCTCACAGTTGAAAGAAAACACGCTTAAAAGGAGCAGAAAGCAAAAGCCAGGTCAGGGCATGGCTGTGCAAGGGGATGTGCAGGGAAAAGGGCATTAACACCCGTCCTGGGTGTGGGGGAACAGACTTTAGAAGAAAAGCCAATGCAGAATTAAGGGTCAGCAGATGCCAGTGGTGACTGGAAGCAAAGATCAGAGGACTGCGACTTCGAGGAAGCTCCTCTTCTGCGGGTCTCTGATCCCTGAACATAAGCATCTGCTTCCAGATTCAGAGGGACTGGAGGACTTCAAGTCACAGGCACTATTTCAGCATGGATTAATCTTCAAAATTCAACATTATTCTTTAAATCCAACCTACTTTTGGTCTGAGGACACTCACCTCTTGTCCAGGCAGTCCTCTTGGCCCAGGTAAACCTCGTGCTCCTGGCTTTCCCTGAGAAAGAGCCAAAGGAAAAGATACTCAGAAAACAGAAACATAAGCTCAGAAGGGCAATTAAAACGAGAAAGTCTCTTTCACAGCCATGGGACATCATCCAATGTCAATTTTGTTACAGAAAAAAAATTTGAAAAAAAGAGAACTCTGCACTTGGAGGGACCTCAAGCCAAACAGACCAAGCTGAAACGTTGGCCAGGACAATCTTTAGGAATCTCCAGGCCTTTCTCTCTGCCCCCTTCCCACTACTTTGTTTTCCCTGGCTGCTTCCCACCCCTCACAGAACTTCAATCTCTGCTCCACTCACCTTCAGGCCTTCAGGACCATTTTCTCCCGGTGGGCCAATGTCACCTGGGAAGCCCTGAAGAAAATGAGAAATAGTCAGAGTGCATAGGTGGACTTTTGCAGCCAGCTTCAGACGACAGCCTCTGTGAGAGTTTTAATTAAAGGCTAAGGGCTGACCCCTCCTCTGGAGTGGGTCCAGAGGAGGCCATGAAGATAATGTGAGGGCTGGAGCACCTCTGCTATGGAGACAGGCTGAGAGAGTTGGGCTTGCTCAGCCTGGAGAAGAGAAGACTCCGGGGAGACCTTCCAGCAGCACTCCAGTACCTAAAGGGGCTACAAGAAAGCTGGAGAGGGACTTCTGACTAGGGTATGTTGTGATGGGACAAGGGGCAATGCCTTTAAACTGAAAGAAGGGAGACTTAGTCTAGATAGAAGGAAGAAATTTTTTACAATGAGGGTGGTGAGGCACTGGAACAGGTTGCCCAGAAAAGCTGTGGCTGCCCCATCCCTGGAAGTGTTCAAGGGCAGGTTGGATGAGGCTTTGAGCAACCTGGTGTAGTGGCAGGTGTCCCTGCCCATGGCAGGGGGGTTGGAATTGGATGATCTTTGAGGTCCCTTCCAACCCAAACCATTCTGTGATTCTGTGATTTGTTACGTGCTGGCAGTGCCCATGTGTGGGCCACGGTGCAGCTTCTAGAGGGAGCAAAACGAGACAATGGGAGCAGCGCTATCGGTCCGATTCAAGAGCAGCCTCTCCCAGCAGTTCCCTTTAGGTCCATCTTCTTAGGAGATTTATTGCTGTGAAGGCCTCCCTGTCATCACACAGCTAAAAATGGCAATTTGAGTTTTAATTAATCTTTATGAGTCAGCACATAATCTCACTGCTCCGAGAAAGGAACTGCACGCCCCAGCGACAAAGGGAAGCAGGCGAGGAATTAGGAAAGGTGCTGACATGCTCATTAGCTGCTGCCTTCAGCCCGGCAGCGACTCCTTTCCACCCACCAGCCCTTCGCTGAGGAAACAAAGGAATCTGTGGTTATTTCCAATAGCAACAAAGAGGAACGATTGCTCAGTGGCAGCACTCAACCAAGAGCCCTTCCAGACCCAGCAAAATACCACAACACTGATGAAGGGAAAACAGACAATCAGTTGTGCTGGAAGCGGCTCTCTAGCATCTTACAGATGTTGTCCTGTTGCTTATGAAGGGGAAAAACGACAATATTCTGCGGGAATCCGATCCAGCATTTAAGGTATCACAGTGACAATTTTTTTGGTAAGGGCAGCAAGAGTCTTTTTCTACTTGAAATGGTATTTTGTGGGGGAGAAACTGAAAAAACCCTCCACGATGTCTATGACAAAAAGTGGAAGGAACAACCAGGAAACCATGAGATGCAGAATAAGTCATGAACCTGTCTGGATCCTTGCTACCTCATCACCACTCATGTACCATCACACCCGAGCAGAGAAGCGAAGCTCCAGGCTGAAAGGAAGAGGGTAAGTGGAAAGTGAGGTGCAAGATTCAAGAAACGAGTGTTCTTCCCCGCAGAAGCAGTTGAAGAACAAAAAGGGCCAGAGAATGACATGGTGAGTACAAAGACCAGTGTCCACAGAGACCAGCCAGTGGCTGGGGAACAGCTTGGGGCTCTAATCTGATGCATCGCTGGCTTGTCTCACATCTTTTGGAAGCTCCCTTTACTTTTCTAGGCTTGAGATCTTCCCTCTGCAAAATGACAGGATGTTCTGCTTTGCAGTGAGTGTCTGCCAAGGTGTTTAAAAAAAAAAAACAAACAACACAAAGATGGGGAGAGATGACAGGTTGTGACATGCTGTTTACCAGGTTAGGGACAACCTTTGGGGACTGACTGTTGCGAACAAGAGTGGAACAAGCTTTTACATACAGGACTTGTATGTGAGGATCAGGAAGAAAAAGGCTTGGAATAGTAGCTGGAGATGAGGAAATCTGAGTGCAGGGTGGTCAGACGGTACAAGATAGACAGTTTGGCCCATCTCCCAGTTTGAATAAAAGTGGACCTCAATTCATTAAATAACAGTAAATCCTACAGCACAGCAAAGCTCTTTCTGCCTCGGCGTTTCTGGAGCCCTGGTGCGCCATTGTCCTAAAAGCGACCCATCTGCCTGGCGTTAGCGAAGGCTCTGACCCCAGGACACACCACTTTCGGGTTGGTGAATGTATCAGAGCTCAGGTGTCACGGCGAGCAGCAGCGGTGGCAGCCATCCCCTCCTTCTGTTGGGCTGGGTGTCCACACGGGGGGCAGCACTTTGGCTCGTTAACCATATGAATTAGTGATGATTAGCTACATGCATATGCCTCCTAATCAAAACCCTGCGTGGGTCTGTCTGTACACAGCTCCAGAGCTAAAAACCTGCCGTGGGGAAAGGAGACAGGCTTCTCTACCAGCCTCTGACATGCTACGTGGGTGTTCATCAGAGATGATTCCTAGCGAAGCAGTAAGCTGCAGGCACCGAGTAACTACTGCAGGGGCCAAATGGGGTGGGAGAGAGATGTTATCGTGTGGCTTTGCTGAAGAAAGGATGCTGCAGAAGCTACCAAAGAAAGGAAAGATGTGAGGAGGAGATGGTGGGACATACCTCAGGGCCAGGTGGTCCCGGAAACCCAACTGGACCTTTGTCCCCGACTTTTCCCTGCAGAAATCAGAAAAACATGAAGAAAAGTGAGCTGGCTCCTGGCTGTTAGCTTTCCTGTTTAGAACAGCATGCCCCTGCCAAGCTGGCTTTCCAGCTAAGCACTGAACCTTTAGAAAGGGAGATTAGGAATCAGAGGATGCTGGGTTACTTACCAGGGGGCCTGCTTTCCCTCGTGCCCCAGGGACTCCAGGCAAACCCTGGCTGCCCTGAGAGAGAGAGACACATGTTTTTTCAGATAACACAATGAAGCATCAAAAAAATACCAATTCCCCAGGCTCCAGCTCCTCTGCAGCAGGGAGAGGAGCCCTTCCTAAAGGCTAAACTCAGCCCTGCAAGGAGCTGGGGCAGTTGCACTAATGTCAGTGAGATGTTTCTGCTAAAGCTGGGGCTGAATTTAGCCCCAAAGAACCCACGAGCCGTTGCAGTTTGTTGTGGCTCAGCACCACGTAGGCCCCAGTGCAGTGCTAAGTACAGCATCAGTCAGCTGAAGTCCGTATCATATCGTAGTCACAGGGGAGAAGTCATTTGCTCAGAAGTTATGCACGGTGTTAAGGGCTTCACTGAGTCAGGGTTTAAGTTGCTGCACTGAGCAGACAAAACCTCCAAGTCTGCAGCCGCTGGACCACACACGTTCACACCCATCCCCATCAATCCCACCCCATCACTTTCCATTTTTGCAAGACACGGCCCCTTTTATAGAAAGCCCCCAGCAGAACTGCATTTATCATGAGTAATAACAAAATCCATATTTTGACATGAATTTTAGAAAGGCGCAGCGTACCCCAAATGAGAACTATCCGAGCAGGGGAACCTGACAGCAGGATGCAGCGAGTTCCAGCTCCTTGCGGCTTAAGATGAGCCGAGAAAGCTGGTGGCCACACATACTACTGTGTAAGGGAAAAAAAACAATAGAGAAAAGAAAAACAATTACCTTGTCTCCTTGGAAGCCGATATCTCCTGGAACACCTGCTCCTCCCTGATCACCCTGGGTACACATCACCAGAGAGTTAAAATAGGCAACAGCAACGGCCAAAACGCCCAGGCAGATGCTAGACGGTGCATCGTACAGCACATCACCAGCTCCATTCAAAACTGAATGGTTGGCAAACTGTAGATTGTATTAACTGCAACAACAACCCTGAACGAAGTGTGTATTTCCCAACACTGATTTTAAAGTCAGAAACAAAACTGCAGGAGAGAGAAAAATGTGAATTCCCAAGCATTGTGATTCTATAGAAGCTGCAAGAAGAAAGACTATGTTCCTCTGGCTAACAGCAACCATGAAGGTGGTGAAGTGTTAAAATTCAGCTGAGGAGCCAGTTTAGTTTTCAATGAATGGACCTTTTCTTTCATAAGGCTCTATAGAAAAGAAAACAATACTCAGGTTACCATGAGCGTACCCAAGTGCTGGCATCAAAGATCAATCCTCTTCCATAAAAAAACAAGAGTAACTTCTAGCAGTACTTTAGTACCATCTCACTGCCAATATCTAGGCTGAGATTCCCTGGAAGGAGTAGGCTGGTGTTCATCGGGATGGGGATCCCATTTTTGAGCACACCATCATTGATAATATTGCCTAACCAAGCTAACTTACTTTCCCTTCTTTGGATCATCATAATAGATTCTGACTCTCTGGGTAGAAAGTAAGTGTCCCTGAAGGTTTTCCTAGAAGAGGTGGGCTACCTTGCATTGCCTCTTAGCCCTGCTGTGAGCAGGCTGTTGGACCAGATGACCTCCTGATGTCCCTTCCAACCTCATTTATTTAGTGATTTACTTAAACAAAGGCTGAGTCAATGATGGGGCAGAGAAAGGAAAATTCTACGTGGGAAGTCAATGGAGGAATGACTATAAAAACTTGGTACAATGACAAGACCCAACAGAAATAACCATTAGAGGAACTCTAATGCACAGCTCATGCCTCTAAATTTGGCTTCCTTGTAAGGGAACAAGCCACACAAGAGCAGAGAGCTATATGTTTAAACATAGTCCACATGGAAGACATATGGACTCCTGCCACAGAGTGAAAAGTCCACAAAGGGATGACAGAGGAAATCTACTTCTACTTAAACAAAAACCACCCACTTGTTATCAGAGAGTTGAAATAATTCCAATTACTTCAGTAACATGTAGGGGATAATGAAATTGTGGACGGTTAGGGCTTGAGTTGGGAAAGACTTTTTGGAAACAACATTTTTAGAAGAAAAATAATTAAGAACTATGCAGATTCAATGACGGAAACATTTCATGGATTCATGCTACATTTGCTCAAATGTTTTGGTAAATGTTCCCAGAACATTTCACTGAGCTATCTTCAAAACAAATCTTTTATACAGCAAAATTGAAATGTTGCTCTTAAAAAAGTTAAATTGATATTACTCATTTGGTTTTTAACCTAAAATATTTTAATTTGAGTCAAATAACCAACATTGTGCTTCATCTAAAATATTTTCCATCTATCTTTTTTTTTAGCAATGCAAGCAAATGGAAACAATCAGCTACTGACACAGCTTCAGTTCGGATGAACCCCAAGTAATAGATACAATAGAGATGGCAAAAAACTTACTGTATGACCCAGTTCATTTATAGCCATTGCCAGATTTCTCTCATCTCTGAATTTTCTACTTATTTTACCTAGTCCAAGGCTTAAAACACTGAAAACTACTGTAATTCTGGCTCCTGCCAGAAGACAGCAGGAAAACAGTTTTTCTTGAAAGTGAGAGGTTTACTCTGAAAACTCTTTGTCTTTATCACCCATGCTGATGGTCAGAAAAAAAAAAGATATTTTTTGTTTTAATTAAACAGTTTTCTACCTGGATAGTATAAGTGGTCATTCAAATACTGTTTTGGAAGAAATACTTGGACATTAAGAAACGACTACTATAAGAAAAGAGTCTCCTGAGCGTAGCAAAAGGCAGGAACAAGCCTTTATCCCTGACCTTTCAGTAAAGCGGGATAGTGACTGCATGACAGAGAAAACAGTTTTCCAACCACTCTGAGAACTGGGCATTAGAGAGGGTAAGGAGGAAGCAGGAAAGGCAAAACACATCTCATCTCTTTAGCTGGGCTCCACGTACGATGTGCACAAGTTATTGCAACAGCACAGCAAAACGTCACGGCATGAGTGACCCATCTGCAAAGGCCATTAATGCCTTGAACCAAAACTGAGGACTAGAGCATCCCCTTTCGCCTGCCTTGAGCACAGTAAACATCAAACTGTGACTCAGGGTGTGTGTCCTTAACATGGGGGAAAAAATAAGGAGGAAAGAGGTCAGGCATGTTTATTATTAAAAAAAGCGATGCCGAGATAACGACAAGGGGCTGCAAGGGCTTTGCTCACGGGGAGGAGGAGGAGGAGGAGGAATGCACAATCTGAAATGGCAAACAGGCTCTGCCCATGGGGTATTGCCTGTGTTTCATGTTTCACCTATAAAAAGAAACGCAGCTTCTGAGACTCTGAGGTCCTTCTTAAGGCCACACGGCACAGAAAGGAGCTACGAGGGGAGTGACGGGTGTGCAAGTGCTGGCTGTCTGGAGGTCAAGGTGCAAAACGCTCGTTTTGCTCTCGATTGGATGTCTCTTCTCCCCAGGCTTTCTGCGTAGCAACACAAGGGGAGCTAACGCTGCAAAACTGCTAGAGGTATTTCACTGAGCCGCGTCCTTCACAAGTTACAGATGTCCCAATTCCTAAAACTCCTTTATGTGAACAAGTAGCTCGGATTTCCTCCGCTTCCTCCACCTTTCCTCTGTACTCCTCACATCACACGGGCTTCTCAAGGCCACTCTTCATTTCAGGGTTATACAGTAATTCCTCTTCTCCCTGTAAAAGCAGATGCAACCCTCTCTGCCCCCTCTCCTTGCCTCCACAAAAACATATAAATGGAAACAGAAGGATGACCCATTTTGTGGGAAAACTGAAGCTGTAAAAAAACATCATTAAATTCTGTGGAACCAAGCTTTGATGGGGGACGTGGACAGGGTTGGCCAGCATTGGTGTGCTCTGTGCTCGCCTGCCTTGCTGCCAGATACAAAGACGTGGTTTCTGCAGGAGGAGTGGGATGTTGCCCCATGTTCTAGTTCATGCCTGGCCTCTGCCATGCGATGCAGGAATTTGGGATTATTGAGCTGCACCTTGCAGAATATTGAACACAGGAAACAGTCCAAAAAACAGTGACAAGCACTCTCTCTTGGAAGGGAAAACCCTCTCAGCATTGAGACAGGTTCCTCTTCCTGCCATGGCAAAAGGGAACGGTAGCAGCTTTTCTGAAGGACGCAGCATTGCAGTGAGGACCTTCTCCAGGTGGACGGAGGTGGCAGCCCAGTTACACACCACCCAGCCACCCTGTCAGCAAGCTCAGCTTTTACCGCTGTTGGATCTGACTGCTGTCGAGTGAAGGGAATTCTTCTCAGCTACAGAAAGACAAAACTGCCTTGGATGTGACCAAGACAGATGGGTTTAACAGGAGATTGTGGACATCTAATTAAATCTTCATCAACACATCCTCAGATGGCACTATGAGCTGCAGCCTGGAGCTGGGGGGGACAGGCCAGGTGTGAGTGGTTTGGGTTGTGCTCCAGGTACCCTGTGACACCGGCACCCACGGCTGCTCCCACGGTGCCCGGTGTCACTGCCCAGCACAGCCAGCTCCACGTGGACGTGCAGAAGAGACCGAGTCCCGTAGAACTGCGATGGGAGGAAAAAGACTGTCCCTTACCAGAGAGGACGTGGGACACTCTCAAATCCTTGTTTCCCTTCCAAGCTGGGCTAGTCTGTGAGTGGCAGCAGACAGAAGGTGTGAAGCCCCCAGGGCTGCTTTCATCTGCCATGAATTACTAATTATGAAAGGTTACTGATTACTGTCAGCATGGAGCAGTGAGGTTTGCTGCTCTCCACTCCTGCTGACCCAGCATTTCAGATGCTGCCAAATGTCTAGGGCTTTTATTTATTTTTTTTTTTTAAATATGAAGTTTAACTCTATGTTTACCAGCTTTCTGAAAACCACGGTGGAGGAGGAGGCGGCCTTTAATTTATCCCCTTCCCCTCTGGCCATGTAATGGGAGACTGCTGCACTTCTCCCTAATCCCTCACATCCCTTTGGGAAAAGTTACCATTTCTGTATGGGTTTATTAGAAACTGCTTTCCAGAGAATCCACCTGATGTCATCATACAAGATTCGACCTTCTGTACACCGGGACTCTCTGGCGTCAGATGTCGATTTGCGGCTGCAATGGTCATGCTTAGTAAGGAGACAGCTACTGTTGGCTGAGCCTGAGCATCATCTGTGCTTGCTAGTACCTGAATTCGTTCATCCTGCGCATTCAACACACTCAGCGTACCGCTCAGGTCTTTCAGAGATGGACTAGCCATTTGAGGTGCCCACTTAGGGTCTCAGGAAAGATGTCTGGACAGTTGGCAGATGGCAGCGCAACCCCTATGGAAAATCATGCATCCTCAACTGCTCGCTGAACCCCGTTTGCACGCTGGGGTGTAAACAGGACTCCTGGACTCTAACACGGCTTTCTGCTGTATGGGCTGCGCATCAGCTCTGCACGGTATGGTGCCAGCCCTTCCTCCTGCAGCATCGTAGGAAAGCAGCACCAGCTTGGAAGTCTGAAATAATTTGTTCTTCAAAGGGAACTCAGGGACCTCATATGCTCATAGAGTGGTACAGTGGGATGGGGGCGCTTCAGCCACACCAATGCACAGGGAAAAGGTTGCTGCACAGTGGCTGGACTGTCACTCCCAACTAGTTAGCTAAGTTCACCCCTGTAATTGCATCTTCAACATCCAGTAGAGAGGGGAACTCTGTTACTTGGGAGGTGACCAAGCTATGAATAAGGATCTCTGCAGAAGCAGATTGCATATAACCGCGGTTTGGAAATGTTTCAAGAATGGCAAGAGACAAACTTTAAGATCAACAGACATAGAAAATAAATACAAGATTCAGGGAGGTTGCTTATGTTTCTGGTCATAGCAGTAAGACAGTTTTGTCTGAAGAAGACGATGGAGGGTTATAATGATGTCAAAATCTAATGGACAAAAAAAGAAAGTAAGCAACCAGAGAAAGACTTTAAATAAGATATCCCAGCCTAAAAATAGCAGCAGAAACTAACAGTGACATGACTGGTGAGAGATTACAGAAGGTAGCCTGCAACACAAGCCAATCTCTCTGCTCTAGGCAGGGTCTGTCCTGTGACCCAAGCCCAACCGGGCACTAAGTGCACACAGAGATCCTGCCTCTGCTTTCCTATAGGTGGGATTTCCTTCAGTCAGATATGTCTAAGATCAGCTTCAATTAAAAAGAATGTGACAAAAATAAGGGGGGCAAAGAAAGATTTATGATGCAGCTTCTTAATAAAGGCTGAGACAGAAAACATTTTCATTAAAATGAGGCAGGTGGCAAGAGGAAAGATGAACCCAGCAAGGAGAGGGTCCAAAAGGCCAGGGCGTGCTTCCCAGCTCCAGCAGCCTCCTCCCTGGTCACTTCTGCAACTCAGAAGCCCTCACATAAGATGAAGGGCATAAACGTCCCTTCCTTCTACCACATGTGCATTTAGACTACGAGCTCTTTGAAGGCCAAGTTTTTCCCTTGCTACAAACTGAGCAAAGCAGCAAGACCAGATATCATTTAAATTTCTTAGTCGTACCAGAGCATAAACAATTAAAACACAAATGTAAACAAGCTGTAAGAAGGGATGAGTGGTTTTGCTCATGACGTCCAAAATCAGAGTGAGAGAAAATAAAGAGGCTTAAAGGTGCCATTCACTAAAGAAACATGGTAGTGAGTAACTGAATGCAGCAGCCTTTTGATCAGTGGGAGAAGGGATGTATTATAGACTGGGCCAACCAGCTGAACGGCAAGACCAACAAATCAGAAAACCAAATAACTGAAAAAACCCACAAAGCTATTTCAGGCCAAATCCTCCCCCGAATGTAAGCAGAGCTGATGAACTTTGTCTACACTCATGCAAACAAGTGCAGCGAACTTGGATGCTCTGGCTAAAACCAGAACGCCGAGCTGCATGCCTCCACCTGAGCAGACCAGACTTGTGGCCATCAGCACCTAAGTAGGTCTGATTTTCCCTTACCTTGTATTTCCCAGCCCTTTGGCTGTTGGACTGCTGGAAAGGAATCGCATAAGCTGTTTGGAAGCTCTCTCTGACTCTGAAATCATTGCTGGTCTTATCCGAGTGTTTGATAGCACCCAGGATATTCCAGCTAAAGTCAGCTCCTTAGGGACAGAGGAGGCTTGAGCAGGAGGGATGGTTTGTCAATCTTGGATTAGGAAAGGGCTGTAATGAAAGCCAGGAAGTCTGTCCTGTACAAGAAAAACGCAGTGGGAGAGGTAGCCAGGGAGGGAAAGAAAAGGTATCCTGCACCTCGGGAGAGAGGCTGCAAGATTGAGCATGGGATTATTGGGGGAGGATGGATAATTCTGCCCTTGAGAGTATTGCAAGGATGGCTCTAGAGAGAGCTGCAAGCCATTTGGCTACTGTGATAGCAGCGGCTGGAGAAATACTGGGGATAAACAGAGCAGTCTGTGTAAAGTGATGGAGACTGTAATGTCCAGGAAGGTTAACTTTGCTAAACAATGATTAAAATGTAAACAAGCTGTAATTGTAATTTTGCTAAACAATGATTTAAATGTAAACAAGCTGGTGATTCTTAAGATATTCTACCATTTCTTCCAAGGAGCAGACAGAAGAGTTCATGGACTCTAGGAATTGGTGTTGAGTCAAGAAAGCAGATACAATGTCTTCAGCTTGTCCTAAAGAAAAAGTCCTTCTCTTGCCCTGTCCTTTCTCTCTACAAAAGTGAAAAGGCAGCACAGAGGAGAAATGGAAACTGCAGACACAGGAGCCCTGGCAAAGAGCTGCGATAATATAAGGAGAGTGGAATCAACTGGCTTGACACTACTTCCCCCATGTGCAGTTTCGGGCTGCTAAATCATTCTCTAAAAGCAAACATCTATCGAGACTAAAACATGAGAGAGGAGGAGGAGAATACACTTAATGGTCATTTGCCATTGCCCTCCTGAGCAATCAGAGCCAACAATAAATGATTGCACCTCCCACTCTTTCAGACTAAATAAATCCCACAGCTGAATATCTGTAGGAGGACAGTTCTCATGACAGTGAGACACTTACACACACAGCTTCACGCTGCTTCAGCTCAAGCGGCATGTTTTTGTGCCAGCAGCACTAAATCATTGCAATCAATGCCCCTCTACTTTTTGCTTTTTCTAAAGTGATTTACATCACTCTGGCACAAGGCAATTTCCTCTCGGCAGGAAGCTGAACCGAGGTGAGTCTCTCGGAACAGGAGCAGCGGTCCCTAACACAGAACAGTTTCTTCCTGGGGATCCAGCTGGTTTGCCTGATCTGGGGAGCTGTGCTGCTTTGTCACATCACGTGTTTCCCCCAAACGCACTAATGCAAACCCACTGTCGGTGGTGTTGGGTCTTCATCCTCCTCCCTGTCCCATCACGTAATCGATATAAAAACATAAAAGCCCAGTGAAACACCAGATAATCTTACAGTTACTGTCATCATCAGTGGGAAACAGAAGCTCAAAGGAGGATCTGATTATAACTGATCTATACTAGAACCACATGGAAAAAGGGATGGGGCGGGTATTACAAAAGAAAAATCAAAACTGGAGTGTCAGGAAAAGTGTGAAGGTGGAAGGATGAGAGTAAAGAGACAGCGAGAGCGGAACCAGTACCATGGTGCTGAATAAGACAGAGAAGCTTCAAAGGGGTTTCTACATGCAAAATTAAAACACAGTGCAATAAGGGAGTATTCAGATCACCTTATCACCTTTCAGTCCATGTTCTCCAGGGTTTCCCATCAGCCCCTGAAACAAAAGAAAGTTCAGAGTGAGACTGAGCCAGGTCTATGAAGACTTGCTCAGGTCTGTGACATTGATGTCCCTGATGGGGCTGGTGGTTCAGACCCACAGCACCGGCCTGTCACAGCCCCAACGCCAAATGCCATGTTGCTCCCAAAGCTCCATCACACATTCTCCAAACACCCTTCGTGGGCTGGAGATGCACAGAGGAAATGCCCCTGGGATTCTCCAGTGACTTACACCTACTGCAGACCACCAGTGCGATGTGTCCAACAGTCCTGTGCCTGCGTCAATGGACAAGCATTACTGCTGCCCATCCTTCTCGGGACCATCACCGTCACCCAAGGGAGGAAAAGAATAATCTTCAGCCCTGCTGTGGAGGGACAAGAGCTCACACAGCTCAGTTATTCTCTCACCTTTAAGCCTTTTGGTCCCGGATAGCCGATCGGTCCAACAGAGCCCATGTCACCCTAGTAAGAGAAAGAAAATTACCAAAGTCATTAGGTGCAAAACCAGCAGAGAGTTGTATGTGGTGTGAAATTCCTCTCCTATCTGGCCTCTCAGCATCCCTGAGGAATTGCACTACTGACTTCAGCAGCAGCAGCATCATCCTGGCACAAGTCAAGAGACTTTTAATGTGTAGACGGCCTCTAAGTAAAAGCAGCACAGGGCGTTTGCCTCGCAGACACGCGAGGGAAGAAAAGCAGCTCCTATTCGCATCCTGCTCTCGCCACAAAGACGAGATCCCAAAGCGCCTTGACACTAACCACCGGAGAAGTGAGCTGTCCCCCAGGATCCGCTCACCCGGCCGCACTGTGGCACAGGAGATATGGGTATCGAGGAGCGTGGTCAGACTCCAGACTCCAAAACCAGGAGTCTGGGTTCTTGGATTCACTTAAAAATTAGATAAGGAATTCAAGTTAGTAAATTAATGGCAAAATAATGGAAAATTAATTAAGAAGCCACTGTGAAGTCTGCAACTGTGGATCTGACAAATGTTTTTTATATATTCCTCCTAACTTTACAACAGATTAATTTATCTCTTCCACTATTGAAACATTAAAACACTGAACTGGTTTAAGACAATTCTGGAGCTTGTTTATTGTTGGTGAAGTTGCTCATGTTCTCAGAAAGAATCTATCTGTTCCAGTTTTAGCTGGGACAGTGTTAGCTCTTCTTTTTTTTTAACAGCTAGGAGAGCTCCGTGTTTTGGTTTCACTCAGAGGCTCGCTCTGAGAAGAATGCTGATAGCAAGTTGATGTTTGTGGTTGGATGTGAAACTCCAAGGACTTTTCAGTGTGCCGGAGTGCAGAAGCACGGCGGGATAAGGGGGGAGCATAGCTGGGACAAGGGGGACACGATTCCCCTTGTGATTTGTGGCGAACTTAAGATTGAGGGCCAAACTGGCCAATTAGTATTCCATATCATGCAGCGTCATGCCCAGTATAAAAGCGAGGGTCAGACGGGAAGAAGGGCTTTTGCGCTTTGGCTTTTGCCGCTTTGGCTCTTTTGCGCTTGCTGTGTTTTTCGCTCTATTGCTTTTCTTTCTTCTTTTTCTTTCCTCTCTCTCTCCCAGTACCTCCCACTCTCGGAGTACTATCTCTCCCTCTCTGCCCCTCTCTATTTCGGGGCCTCGCGTTCGTCCGGGATTGCAGTTTCGGGACGAGACGGGCTTCGCATACGAGGGGGTGGTGAGCACCTACATTGTATTAAATCATCTGTATTAAATCACTCTTATCTCAACCCACGGGTTTCACGTTTA